TTAAAATAAGCTATAGCCTTAAACTTTATTAATAGTAATATAATTTTAAAAAAGAACTTTATTATTAAGTTCTCTATAAGTTTTTATATACTCTTTAAAAACTTAAATAAAACTAAGTTTTAAGTAGTATAGTTTAACTTTTATAAAGTCTTAAAGACTTACTTTTTAAAAATATACGCTTTTAAGATACTTAATAGAAAAGTACTTAAAAACCTTATCTATAGAAATTACTTTATATAAATATATATATAAGAAGAAAATAAATATTATTACTAAAATTAGCTATACTTTAAGTATAAATAACTAAGTAAAGATAACCTTAAAAGTATCCTAAATAAAGAGTATAAAAATAAAATAAATATATTTACTATAACTAAGAAAAACTAGCTTAATAAATTAAGAAACCTTTTAGTAGAGTTAATTAATATTAAGAGGTTTAGTACTAAGAAATATTACTTAAGTTTATTTATTATCTTTTTTAACTTTATAAGAAAAGTTTAGAAAGCTAAAGTAGGTATTTATAAATAAGAAAAGAAATATCTTATAGTAACTATCTATAATCTAAGTAGTAACTTAGAGACTTCTATAATATTAGAATATATTCTTCTTAATTTAATTCTAGCTTTAATATAAGGCAATTTAGAGTAAATAAAGTAAATTATATAAGAAATAGAATATTCTATAATACTATAAGATTTAGTAAAGAAAAAGAATAATAATATTCTTATCTTTTTAAATTAAAGCTTAGTAAGGAAGAAAATCCTTCTAGCTATAGTAGATTAAGAATTAATCTTTATATTACTAGAATAATAAGAGTAAGAAGATAAATTATTAAAGCTAAGGAGCTATAATAAAATTACTACCTTAATTATCTATACGCTTATATTAAAAGTAATAAATCTATATAAATAGGTATCTAATTCTAAAGAAAGCTATTAGGATATTAACTCTTTATTATTAGATATTAAAAAAGTAAAGGTTCTTTTTATAAATTACTCTAAACTTAGTTTACTATAAAAAATAGATATAACTAAAGGATTTTTATAGAATACTAATATATTTAGGCTAACTATAATACTTAATAGTTTTATACGCCTTAGTACTAGTTTATAATATTTAAAATTAGAATAGAGATAATAAAAGGCTACTCCTAAATAAGAGATTATCTTATATATAGATATAAGTAAAATATTTATAAGAAAAAAAAGAAAAATTAACCTTTTATTATCTTTTTTATAACTTTTCTTAATTATATTTATTTAAGGAAACTATTTATAAGAAATTACTTTTATTTATTATTAATTTAAGTAAACTATTATAAGTAATAATAACTAAAATTAAACCTTTAAATTTTTTTAGTAATTCTTAGAACTATTACTAAGGTTATTTAAATATAATAAGCTATTTTTAAATCTCTTTAGTAATCTCTAGGACTATTATTAAAAGCTTTTTTATAAAATATTTAATAGTAAGAAATAGGAAACCTAAATAACCTAAATTCCTAAGCTAACTTTCTACTTTCTAGTTTTAAAGTAATATAAGCCTAATATTACCTTTTTCTATTCCTTAGAAGATAACTAACTCTAAGAGTCTAGTTTTATTTCTTCTTCTATATAAGTAAGCTAATATACTTTTTTCCTACTAAAACTAAACGTAGTTAATAAAGCTTCTAGATAACTTAAAGATAGTATAGATAATAGGCTACTAATAGGGCTATAAATAAGAGTAATAAGTAGTTTAGTAATTACTTATATTAATTATATAGTACTTATATTTATCTTCTTTATTATAAATAAGTAATCTTATTTACTATTTAAGGTATAATTTATATAAGCCTTATTAAATATAAAATTGCCCTTTATATCTTAGAAGACTATATAATTATACTAAATAATAACTTCCTTATTTAAAAGCTTAAGTATATAGTAGTATTTATATTTCTTATAACGCTAGTTAGGTTAGTAACTCTAAATATAAGTTATAGCTTCTTATAGCTTATTATTACTAGATAATAAGTTAGTTATTACTATAATAGCTAGCTTAATCTAAGTAAAACTATACTTAACGTAGTATTTAAGTAATACTAAGATCTCTTAAGGAATTTTAACTCTTTAATTCTAAAGATTTTATAGGACCTAAATAAGCTTATCCTAAGTCTTCTTTTTATATATCTATAGCTAATAGTTTAAGTAAATTAATTAATTACTTACTATAGTATAAGCTATATTATTAAGTAAATACTTATAAATCTACTTATTAAGCTTTTTTAAGAGAGCTAAATAATAACTTAAACTAGGCTCTACTTTAATTTAAGACTTAGGTAAAGTCTTATACGTATTACTTTACTTCTTTATAAGCTAATATAATAGTATCTTTATCTTTTCTTTACTTAAAGACTTAATATATTCTAGTTTATTTTTAAGAATAGTTAAGAAGCTAGTCTTACTAACTATATATTTATATACTTAAGAAATACTATAAGTTTACTTTAGCTTAGGTATTATATAATAGTAGTAGCTTTAGCTATACTCTTAATTAATAACTTAGTATAAAATTATTTTAGAACGTATTAAACTATTCTAAATATATTAGAGTATATCTTTTATTACTTAAACTTAAAAATATATTATATCTTACTTTATATATATTTATATAAAGTTAAGTAATATAGTATTTAAGAAGTTATAGTCTAGACTAAAAATATTAGTAATATAAGTACTAAATATTATAAATAGCTTAATCTTATTTTAATTTAAGAGACTTATTTCTTAGAGTTATTAAAATATTACCTATATTAAAGTATTCTTCTTAGTAAAACCTACCTTTTATTTAGGTATTTCTTAAGTAGCTTACTTATAAGCTAACTTTTATTAGTAAAAGAACTTACTTTTTAGAACTAGAGAATATAGTCTAAATATAAGTAATTATTTATAAGATTATCTTGTTTTAGAATTAACATTATAGTAACTTATAGAAAACTACTAGTAAGCTTCTTTAAGAGAAGAATTTAGATAGCTAATACTCTATTAATAACTAAATCTAGCTAGAAGAGGCGAAAAGTAGTTATTATTATTCCTTATACTTAGGAATCTTAATATACTATCTTATTAGCTATAAGCCTTAGTTAGAGAAGATAAATGCTTAAGTATATTTATAAATAATTATAGACGTTCTTTAGAATAAGGTTAAGTAACTAAACTTAAAAGCTAAGTAGTAGAATTTAGAACTTATTATAAAGATTTAGCTTAATTACGCTAAGCTTAAGAAACTTAAGAGTAAGTACTATGCTTTTTAGGTATTTTTAAAAGTAACGTAGTTAGCTTAGTATAAAAAGCTATTTTAAAGAGCTCTTATAATTAAGAGCTTAAAAAGAATTAAGAATTAAAGAAGAGGAATATATAAAGCTATTTATACTTAATAATATTAAAAGTATAAAAGAGAATCTACTTTTACTAACTTAAAGTATTATAAAAGTATAATAAAGAAGAAAAAGAGAAGATAATAAATTATAAAACTTTATAGATATAGGATTAAGCCTCTATTTTATATTTACTTAAACTAGTAATTACTACCTAGTTCTTTATTACTACCTATATATTACTTCTTACGAACTTTATTCTTTAAAGCCTTAGAATATAAGTTATATATATTTTTTATTAGATTAAGTAGCTTTAATACGCTTATATAAACTTCTTATAATTCTTTAATTTATTATTACTAATAGTCTTTATATAAATAAATCTTTCTAAAAAGATTAAGAACTATAAACGTCTAAATATTATTTATAATAGTTTAACCTAGATCTTAAGGAAGATTTTAAGAAAATAACTTCTTAAAGATTATTTTATAGTATAACTAGGGCAATAGTCCTAAGTTTTAAGTAAAGGTTCCTTATTAGTTATTATATTATTAAATCTTGTTTATTGTCTTTTAGCTACGCTAATGGGCTATGTAGACGCTACTCTTAATAAGCGGGTAAAAACTTTTATCTAATTAGCTAATCTACCCAAATCTAGCTAAGCTAGCTCACTCTAGACCTAAGGCCTAGTCTAGCTTTAGCTAATCCCTACATGTTTAGCAAACTGAGGCGCTAACTATATAAGGGAAAACCTCGCTATTATATTCCGTAGACTAATCCATACTAAGGCTATTAATACTATGCTAAGCCCCATTAGCTTCCCAAGCCATAGAAGCATTAGTGGGTTAGGAGAGCCAAATTCTAGGTAGTATCCAACCGTAACACCTCTCTAGGCTAGTATCCATTACAAGTTATTATTCTTCCGTTTAGTTCACTACTTCAAGTTCTTAAAGTTGCTAATATTGTCGTCCCCCAAGGGGCCAAGATTCCTTCCTTATTATTATGTTAGATCCCTCCATTCTTGCCGTTAAATACTAAATCTAAGGCAGCGCCGTTAGTCTACTAAGGGCTATCTGCTACGCTGTACTTTGCTTTTAAGCCAAGATCTAGGGTCCTTTAGCTCAGCGTATTCTAGGTTACCTCCCCTAAGTCTACTAACTTATCCTATAGCGCCGTTTATACTAACCTATAGGTACTATACTTACTAAGCCGTAGTGTTCCTAGATATCGTAATTTACTACTATGTCATTTAGTCTAATCTTGCCTTACGCGGCTAGATTTCAAGCTTACTAAGCTAGGGCCAATCCTTCAATCTAGTTGCTAAGAGCTATAAAAGAGTTATCTTAGTATGCTAATTTTACTACGCTTTAGTAGTATTATAGCTTATTTTAGTATAGCTTTGCGTAGCTAGTTTCTAATTATATAATTTAACGCTAGTCTATTATTAGTTAGTAGGGCTTTAATAAGGATAATCTTATAGCTATATATAGTAATTACGTAATACAAAAATTTGTACCTTCCGTAACGTATTAAAAAGAGCTATAGCTTATCCTCTATACTTACTAAAAAGGAAAGGATAACCTTCCCTAAAAAAGGGTAAATATAGCTTTAAAAGTAAGTAACGATTACCTTTTTAGGGTAGTGGGGGAGACAAGAATTAAACCTATGCCCTACGAATTTTAAGCAGGTAGGGCCTGCCACGAGATCGTAAGTACTACCACTATACTACTCCTCCTATTAGTTATTATAATATTCTTTTTATTTTACTTATTTATTAAAGCTATAACTATAGGATTTATAATCTTAAGAGAGTTTATACTAGTAAGGGAGAATATTATAATAAAAAATATACTAAGAGATTAGATAATTATAAGACCTAATTAGGAATAATATAATCCTCTAATTAGCGTATCCTAAAAACTATATTAGGCCCTTAGACTCCCATAGTAATTAACCACGCTTTATTTCTTATATTCTTACAACAAATCGCAGGAGCTATTGGTCACGTGGTCAATTCTAGATGAACACAGCCAATAACTTCTGAAGTTGCCATATCAGAATTGCACGCTTTTTTGGTCCTTTCATGATAATCAGGTGACCAGAAGGCTATGCGGTCTACCCGTCATCCAATGATACTCAAGACGTAAGAGACACGAGGTAAGCATTGTACGGACAGCGATCATAGCAATCTAGATGCCAAAATGGCATAGAAACGGCGATGGGGTACATATGTTCCAAGATACTGAGCGAGAGCACAGCAAATGAGTTTTACGCGATTGTAATTGAGGAGAAATAGAGAACACAAATGGAGGACCTGGAGTATTTATAGCGGATGAGATGATACGCCACAAGACGGGAGTCTTATCTTATCCGTTACCGTACCCATACGCTAGTGATATTTGACGCCAAGCTTGAAGCGACGCGTGTGACGCGCGTTTGGTCAGAGCCTTGGCATCAAACGCCTTGAAATACAGCAACTCCATGCAACGATCAACAATTGTTCCCATGGCACTTTCTGATCGTAAGAGGCTGAAAGCTTTGGGTACTCTTCTGGTGATACTGGGGCTTCAGAATCTCAGCATTCGGATCATCAGCCTCGCGCTCAACAGGCTCATAGAAGCTCGATATTGCTTCGACTATTATGATCAGCATGACCCTTTAATCAGCAAAGATGGGCTCGATATCCCGGAGCACCTATGCAAACTAGACATGATTCAGCAGCAGCTAGCCTGGCTTCAAGGAGCTGTCGAGACGCTCCACGTTCTCTGCGGTACTGGGCATTCCTGCAGAGGCTATGAAGTGAGCTGACGACCTCAGATCTGATTGTCACAATCCCCTATGCTGCGTTGTCCGATCGAGGCTTCAGAAAACTGTTTTTATGCTTCAATGTTGGAGGTCTAGCACTGATGTATTCTTGGCTCTTGGTGGTAGGCTATGCAAGAGCTACATTCCCAATTGGTGCTATGCTCATCGCTCCTTTCTTATCGCTATTTGGTGGAGGCGATTGTGTGTTGAACACAGTCATGGCGACGTACATTACGGAACTAACTACCAATAATGTTCAATGGTATTTGACGAGTCATACGCCACAAGCACCACTAACATGTACAGGGCTTCGTGGTTCGCATACATGAGTTCCATTTCTTATATAAGTTCAATACTTGGACCAACTGTTGCTGCAACTACCATGGCTTGGTCTATCTGGTTTCCATTTGTCATCGGGATGTCTTCTCTTCTGGTAGCTATGCTGATAGCACGGTCCTTGCCAGATCAATCGCACGAGTTTACGGACTCTGAAGAGAACACCGCGGCATCAAGTCAAGTCGAGCCGCTGCTCGGCCAAAATTCCGGCGCCCGGGATGCACCTAAGGAGGATGTAGCTTCCTTTACAGCTCGCATTATTTCGGACCTTAGAAAAGTTATGCAGGCCTTCAAAAGACCAAGGTTCCGACTGCTTCTGTCAGTGTTCTTCCTCGCATCATTAGCAAGCTCAAACACTCCACTGTTAGCTCAATATATCTCGAAGCGCTATGGTTGGACACTCTCTGACGCGGGATATCTACTTTCAGTCAAGGCCGTCATAAATGTTATTTTGTTAACCATAGTGGTACCTACATCTATACGGTATCTCTCCAAACAGACCACTGAAGGGACTACTACAAATATCATTGGAGCGGCAGCTAGCATATCCTTCTCCGTTCTTGGAGCTGCATTAGTGGGACTGTCTGTTAAGACTTGGCAACTGTTACCATGTTCCATCATCTTCCCAAAGTCGCAATGAAGGAGCTAATTCTCGCTTAGCACTTATTTTGTATGCTGCAGGATCAGCATTACCCGTTTTTACCATGTCTTTGGTGAGATCACCCACGATCGCGGATAGCAATCAAGAGGCTCATGCAAATGACTATTCTATTGTTATGATATTGCGAACTTTAGGGACTTGCCTCGGATTACCTCTGATGACAGTTGCATGGAGTCAGGGGATTCACTTTGGGGGATCAGCAATGGGTGAGTTTGCTTTTCTTAGAGCCCGTCGCCTAGGTGTAACTTTGCCGCTCATCTACAGCTTGGCCTTGTGTGTTGCAATACCTCTCCTGTAAATTGTTTTCACTGGTTGCTCTCTGAAATATCACAAAGCTAACTTCAGTAATGCATGCAAGGCTTGCCATATTATCTCTCAGGCGTAAGTTCTGATGCAACTATGAAGAATTAGACTTTTGCTGAACAGACCAGATCTTCTACTTCCTGGACCTTGTAGCCGTTCGGATGTTGTTCAACGCCTGATAGTTTCATCGCAATGGCAACTTCGCCCGCTGCGAGCACATCAGATCGCATAACAGTACAACTTAATCCTGCAATTGTGCATTTGCTACCAAAATCTAGGCACCTACCTATATATTTTGAAGTAGTACACATGTATGAGACACCACCTCATCAGCTATCACGATGGCCAGAGGAACGTCTTCAACGGTCAGCAGATGCTTTGATAGGACCTAGACTTATCTGAGTCGACATCCTCCAGAGAACAGGATGATCAAGAGTACCGCTGATAGTTTGATGGCCATTGGTGCAATGGCGGCACCAATCAATCCTACAACTAAGGCTCTCTCAAGAACACTGGGATCAATTGGCTTCTTGACCCCGTTCTATTGGCTGCCTTATTATTACTAGTAAGTTCATCTGCTCTGCTTGATCTGTCAGCCTACTTCGAATGTCTACCTGAGTCCGCCTGGTGTAGAGTATCTCTATGACGCAGTGGCCAATTCTAGACCCTCTTAACGTTTTGAGTCTTATTTCATGCCCTCAACTCCACCCTTCGCGACATTCATGTTCCTTCAGCGATTGCTAAGCCATCTGCACCCCAGGAATGCCGGCTTGGCAAGGCAGAATCCTGAACCACGTTGGTTCCAGCCCAACAAGCTTTAGAATAACATTGCTTTTTAATTCTGCCTAAAAACCGCTGGGGTGGAAGTGCGGCATATGCAATGTTATCATAGCCAATCTCGAGGCCAGCATGAGGCTTGCAAATAGCATGTCAAGTATATTTAATATTCAAATGGGAATGCTTACATACTATCCAGTCCATTGAATTTCACTCCCCTTGAATCCACGATTCAAATATCTTGCCGCCAAAATGTTGGAACACAAGGTCGTCCTACTTGGCAGTCTTGTTGCAATTAGCCTGGCAGTCAATTCCACGCAGGTCGTTCAGTTTGATTCATTCTGCGCTTGTTTAGTGCTGCGTTCATTAACAAACACAACAAATGGGCCGGATGCAGACGTTATACGACAGAATCTAGTGATTGATCCTGCCGATCGCGCACAGTGCGATAGCTGGACTGGCTTCCCCAATTATACAATCACGGTTTTCATTGATCAGTTCGGAAAGCCTACTTCTGGGTTCGCCAAAGCTGTAGGCATTCGTTCCAAAGACTTATATCGTTTCTGCGGGCGACCGATAAAACAGGTACACAATACTTTCCGCTATGCACGGTAGGCTGACCTTCCTTCGAAATTTGCATTCCTTGATTTCACTGGCTCCACGGCTGGCCTCCTGCTTCCATGTAAGTGTTCCCCCATGTCAAATAAAGCGAGGTTTTATAATCTTCAAGTTATGCTAATTTGACAGGGGTGGCAATCTTTGCACAACTTGCAAGACAGACGGGATCACACTGGGGTGACTTTTTTAGTATGTAAGTAACCCTTCGCAGTTCAATTGGTATCTTGCCGGAATCTCACAGCGCGGACATTGGGTCCCTGAAAATATGGCCGTTCCTGAAAAAGAATTTACCTATATTTGCTCACCTCTTGTCAGCGTTATATCTGTTGGCAGCCCGGCTTGGATTTTGTCCAATATTTGGCTAGGAGTTCGCTATCAACGACATGTTAGCAAAAGGATCAACAAGCTGCGACGGAAGCTGATTGACGGACCAACCGGCGCTCTCTTTCTCCACTTAGAAGACAGGTGTGCGGCTGCCCAGACGATTTTGCAATCATTCCTACAAGCTCCTGTCCGACTCAGCACACGGCCAGGCTTACTCTCTAGCCTGATCGTATTGCCAGGAAATCATTGGTGGTGGATCGAAGGTAGAAAAACAATTATCGCCAAGCAAAGAGGGATGGATTTCCCTTTTATTGCTCAAAGCTTAGTAGCAGCCGCTGCTTGGATCCTGGCAATTATTGGGGACTTTTCAAGCATACCAGGTGCTTCTGCTACACCCGGCAGCTTTGAATGGCAGGTAAGACAACCTCGAATTTGCTAGCCACTCACTTGTAGCAGCTCAGATCTAGCATGAAGAGCTTCGAGCATTCCGTCTCCCAATGTTAGCGTCGTTAGGGCTTCCGCATGAGCCAGTGCAGTAAGCAAGAAGCCTGCTGACTGTTTGAAGATATGTATGGGTTCGCTATGGCTCTGGATGGTAGGCACCTCATCATAGTTTTGCTAAGAATACTACAATACTTATCGTTGCCAGTTTCCGGCAACATCAGGTCCAGTTGCTATCAAATCCCTGCGCGAGGCTCGGGTCTTGGAACAAGTTTTCTCCTCCACTAGCCAACACGGTGACAATTGGATTTACTCCGCTCTCGATGGCGGTGTAAGCAGACAACACCGTACGCAAACTGCTATCACGAGTCGCCCGGGAATTCTTCCTGCCTACCAGCGTCGTAGAAGATCCACATGGGAACATGAAATCAAAAGCGATGATGAGCATGTTCATAGAATGCTTCGGACAC